AGTCACCCCACGCCCACTAAGTTACCAAAAGGCGTGAGCCCTGCAGGAAATAGCTGAGCCCCGCAGTGTGGGTTGGAGGGGGACAGCAAACAGACATTTTGGAGAGTTGGGGACATTCTCCTCCAGAAGAATAGGGCTGCTTCTTCCCATCCCCCCACCACATGCCTGGGTCCTGCTTTCAGTTCAAACCTGCAGAGCTGTGCATAAAAGGAGATCAATGCTCCACCCATCCGATCGCCACCCCCGCAGCAGCTAATCTCCTTCCTGATTGAAATAAGTGGCATTTATTGAGCTCTTACAGTGTGCTCAGTAATTTATATGGATTACTTTTGTTAATCCTCATAACAACTCTGAGACAACTGTCATTATTGCTCCCATTTTACAGATGAGGACATGGACGACCCACAGAATTGTGTCACTTGCCCCAATCACAAACCCTGGCAAATGCTAGAATCACATGCCTGAATACTAAGCTAGACCTGCGCTCCAGACTCCTGAGATGGAGCCACATTCTGCGCACCTTGTGTGGCCGCTGGTACAGGCACTGGGCCCACAGAATGTTGCAGGAACTCTGTGCCAGACTCCGTGCCTGCTTCCTCCCTCATATAACACCTCAAGACCCAGAAAAGCCCAGAAACACACAGCTATGCATTCTTCTGCTACTGATAAAGGCTTCTTCTAAATGAGTCATTTCCTTCAAAAAAAGAAAAAAAAGGGAAAAAATGTTTTTAGATTGTAGCAGAAATATCCACCCCACCCTCAAATATGCACCCTCTGTCTGACCCTGCTCAAGCCCACAAACGCTATGCCAGGAAGCCCCAGTTGCTGGAAGACCTCGCGTCCGGCCTCAGGTCTCCTGTGGCATAGGGACCTGAGGTCACAACTGACCCCAGGCAACCACCCCACAGAGGCCCATTCCCTCAGTCTTGTGACAGGAACACACTTGCCTCCTTAGAAGTTGGCCATCTGCCTGGTTGTCACGATTTACCTGGTGGGACCTTCATTTCTGTCTTATTCTCTCTGTCCTCCTCCCTAGCCAGTTTCTCTCTTCTCTGTTTCTATGTTGCTCTCTTTTCCTGTCACTTCATTTGTTCGTTCGTTCATTCGTTCATTCATTCATTTTTCTTTGGGCCTTATTTATTGAGATTGTGTCTGATCCCTAGGTTTCCATTCTTGATTTCTCTCCTATTCAGGTGGCCCTCTGCCATGAGGGTCACTTGCTAGCTGTTCATCAATAAGCTGAGTACCCCTGTCCCCTCCTCTGACCAGCCCCAGGGCTTAGGCTGGATCAAGCTCAGGCTACTTGGATTTTCCTGCCAACTAGATAATAGTTGTCTTATGTTTTATCAGCTTTTATCGAGCTATAGTCACATACAATAAAGTTCAACTATTTTAAGGATACAGTTCAGTGACTTTTGGCAAAGGTATAAAGGCATGTGATGATTACCAAAATCAAAATACAAAGCAAGTTTTGTTTTCTTGTTTCCCTTTGCAGTCAGTCCTCTCCCCTCACCTCTGAACTCTGGCAGCGCTCCATTTTCTGTGACTATAATTTGGGCATTTTTAAGAATGTCATATGTAGTCTTATGTGTCCTGCTTCTTTTACTTAAGATGATATTAAGATTTACCCACGCCATTGCATGTGTAGCCCAGGAGTATTCCATTGTGATTGTAACACAATTCGTTCTTTTGTTTACCAGTTGATTGGCATTTGGATTGTTTCCAGTCTGGAGCTAAAATGCATAAAGTCACTGAGAACATTCAAGTACAAATCTTTGTACAGACATATGTTTTCATTTTATTTTGATAACTACTTGTGAGTAGGATTTTGCTGAGTAGTGTGATAAGTGTATATTTAACTTTATAACAAATGGCCAACTTGTTTTCCAATGCGGTGGCGCCATTTTACATTCCCACCAGCAGTATATGAGTTAAAGCTGCTCCACATTCTCACCAACACTTGGTATAGTCAGTCTTTTTAATTCTAGACATTCTCATAGGTGTGTAGTGGTATCTCATGGTAGTTTTACCTCACATTTTCCTAATAATTGCTGATGTTGAGCATCTTTTCAAGTCCTTCTTGGCCACTCCATATATCTTCTTTTGTGGCATCTTTACATATTTTTAGGTTGGGTTGTTTTGTTTGCTGTCTTAATGGGTTATAAGAGTTTTTCTCTTATTTTTTCATCTGCCCTTTCTTCTTTCTTCCTTCCTTCCTCTAGCCTTCTGGCTCTACTTCTTTCTCCCACTGGGTCCCTGTCCCAGTTCTTGAGAAACACACCCCTGCCCCCAGAGTTGTCCATGATCTCCCCTTCCCTCCCTCCTCCTTTGCCTCTTTCCTCCTTATCCACACATGTTCTCCCTTCTCTGCCAGGATACCTCAAAACCTGAGAATCTGGCCTCAGTTCCCATTCCATATCAGAAAGCATTCCATCACAAGCCCATTGATCTCAGTTCTGCCTAGGTTTAGAGTTCCAAAAAGGGGGAAGAACCCCCGCCCCCAGCCGCTGAGATGAAGACTTAGGGAAGTAAAAAGTCATGGAGGGATGGCTTTGCATTCTGGCATCTTCCTCCTCACTAAATGATTAATCATGTTTACAGACAGAAGGGCTTTTTACTCAAACACAACACTTGAAAGTCACGGGTGTGAAGTGAAGTGCATCCTGCTTATTAATCAGTGGTCCAGCCATCTCCAAGAACATAAGATTAATTGTTCGCATAACAAGGCTCTCCCTTGGCACATCTCCCAAGCCCAGCAGGGATTTATCTTGCCTTGTCACAGGGAAGGAGCAGCCTAGCCCAAAGCTGGCAACTTGTCTTCTCTGTTTTAGAGAACTGGTGTGACAGTATTTGATTGCGAAGCTCAGGGCACTTTACGCAGTATTAGCGCTGGATAGGAGTAACTATGGAATTTTTTTAAGAGCTTACTTAGATATACTTCACCTGCCATACAATTCACCCATTTTAAAGTGCACAATTTAGTATTTTTTAATATATTCATGGATATGTACAACCGTTACCACAACTTTACAACACTTCATCACCTCCAGAAGAAACTGTGGACTCATTAACTACCACTCCCATAACCCTTCTTGTCCCCAATCCTCATCTACTCTCTGTCTCTATAGATTTTGTCTATGCTGGATATTTTATGTAAGTAGAATTATATAATATGATCTTTGGTATCTGGATTTTTTTCCCTTAGCATAAAGTTTTTGAGATTTATCCATGTTCTAACATGTATCAATACTTCATTCCTTTTATGGCTGAATAATATTCCATCGTGCATACACCTCATCCATTCATTGGTCGATGGACATTTGGGTTATTTCCACCTTTTGGCTATTGTGAGCGATGCTGCTCTAAACATTAATGTATAAGTTTGTATGTGGTACAGCTTCAAGTCTCCTGGGTATGTACTAGGCGTGGACTTGCTGGGTCTAATGCTAATTCTGTTTAATCATTTGAGGAACCACCGGACTATTTTCCAAAGGAGCAACACCGTATTACATTCCTTCCCACCAACAACTATATGAGACGTTCTCTCCAACCCTTGTTCTTATCTGACTGGAATATTTTTCTGATCCTATAACTATATCCTCAAACTGTCAAACATACATACATAGCACACATATATTTAAACAATTGTCAACAAAGGACACACATAAAACTACCAAGTCATGCATACCGGTGCATACCTCTGGAGCTCATGCACGTATACATAAACTCCCACACAGACATTTACAATCACAGGCTTCTGTATAGTCACACACAGTACACATGCATATCTACCCACAGACTCACATGTGTGAACGCAGTCAGACACACAACAGACCAGTGCTGTCGCTCAAGTGCATACAGTTGTCCTGAGTTGTGAACAAACATCCACGCAGAACCAGAGACACGTGCACTCAATAATGCTTTCCCTCTTGGCCAAACACACATACACAAACAAGAGTTGTACCTGAAAAGCATGGTCCCAAAAAAGCACACATACATAGTTACCCTCACTCAGGGGGGCTAACCAAAGGTAGACTGAATGTATTTATTCTGGGTGACATGGAGATGGTCGAGATTACATCAGTCCTTGGTCTACTGGGTAGGAATACCTTCTCATTCATTTAGTTGTACTTTAACTACAAGTACATACTGAACACATAGAAAAGACAAGGATGAACAAGATCGAGTCCCTGCCCTCGTGGAACTTACAGTCTGGTAGCGGGGGCAGTTACCTCTGTGAGAGGTGCCAAGAAGGAAGCAAGCAAGGACATAGGTCACACAGGCAAGGTGCCAAGAGGGTAGTTTCTGGGTGTGTCTAGCACTGTCACTCCCTCTTTCATCCTGGCAAAGTGAATACTATTCAGATTCACCTTCCGTAAGTCACTGGATAAACTGGTGTGTCTGTGTGTGAGTTAATACTAGCACTAGTAAGAGTGTGGTCTCAGGACCTAGATTACCTTGGAGTAAAATTTGATTTCTTACTAATTGGGTGATCTTTCCCTCACTTTCTCATCCAAAATTAGGGATGATAATAGTACCTTTAGTAAGGATTAAATTAGCTGGTACTTGTAAAGCACTTAAAAGTGCCTGGCCAGAGTTACCTTCTCATTAGCAACCATCATGTCTTCTGAGAGTACGTTTCCGTAGAGTGGCTGAGTGTACTGGGAGGGGGTGGGAAGAAGTTGGGGGGGATGGGGTGGGGGAGATCAAGGAGCCTGGCAATGCCCCATTGACTGGAAATTGGATGGGTCTTCATCTTCTGCCATATCTAAGCAGTCTTTTGGAAAGAAGCCCTGGCATGCCAGCCCGGCAGGCCATAAGCCAGTCTAGCCCCACCCTGCTCTGCCCACAGCCCCAAACCACAGCGAAGATGCGCACTGGGTGACACTGGGCATGGCTCTTGGTTTTCAGCTGTGTCAGGCCTTTTGGCAGCAGCTCCGCTGTGGGCCTGGCTGGTGGCATTCACCGGTTCTGCTTGACTATCTTTACTGTCTATGTAGGTCAGCACTTACCACCCTGTACCTGCCTCTCCGGGACATTCCACGGCCATCGTCAGTGTGCCTGGCTCCCAGCAACATCTCTCAGCGAACATGTGAGTAACAAGCTCAGCCCTTCACCTCCAGGTCCTGGCCGGAGGGGTCCTCTTGGCCATCCCCGTGCCGCCAAGCATCACCACTCCCAAACCAGCCCATCCAGAGAGACAAGAGCTCCCCTTCCTTCATATCCTTCAATGGAAATAATGCTGAAAAAGCCAAACTGGCAAACTCCGTCTACCTAGCTCATTATTTTATAAGAGTAGAAAAATACCAGAAGCGTATACACGAAAACACTGCTGAGAGGTTGGATAGTGAGCAATTTCTACTGACTTTAGATTCAGAATGTTGGGTCATAATTAGATATTGCTTTAGGATCAGCGGAAAATACAGCATTTTAGAGGGGGATAACCTTGAGGATGAGAACATGCCCCCAGCACCTTTGATAAAACCTTCCAGCGTCTCATACCCCTTGGAGTCTAGAAGGAATTCTTGATGTCCAGCCTGAGGCCATACTCTAGTAACCTGAATCTGGCAAGCCAACGGGGCTCCTTTTTAATGCTTTTGCTCTGCAGATGTTCTCACTTTCACAGCCTTGCTAGTGTCTTCACCTCCCGACTCATACCTGCGTGTCATTTAGCTGCCTGACTCCTGTGCAGACTGTAGAGTGAAAGTCACTGCTCTATCCCGGGGACATCTTGCAATATCCTAAGCCTTTTCCCCTCCAGCCAACCGTGCAGCCAAGATTCCACTGTGTGCTCACAAACAAAACCACCTCCTACCTTCTAATTCCCAATGTCCATCCACGTCCCTGCCTACATTAAGCTAGCTCCTTGGGCCATTCCTGGGGGTCAAACATGTTCTCACTCTTAGGAGAGGGAGTGGATCAGAGAGGCTTGTGCCCTCTCCTTTCCCTTAATTTGTGGCTACAGTCATTTTCTTGGGTGGTAACTCAGCGGTATGAAAAAGCACCCTGAGCAGAGCCGTCACTTCTAGGTTTGAGACCCGGCTCTGCCCCTAATTGCTAGTCACCAACTCCTGTCTCTTTCTTAGGCTGGTCTCCTCATAGTCAAAATGCTTCGGTAGCCTAGCTTAGTGATTCCCAGGCGTGTGGCACTCTGTAGAGGACGCGGGAGTTGGGGAGGGCAGCGATGTGGGCCCCTCCACGGCTGCTTCCCTATCACACTTCCGTCCCGAAGAAGAAGTTTGTTATCACTGACTCAGGGGACGGGGTCCCTGAGGTTCCATTTCCCTTTGCCTTCTCCTCGTTCCATGTCCCTCTACCAGACACGCCTTCTTCACCAGTTCCCTGTCTCCCCAGGTTTGTAGCCCTGCACTCCTACTCAGCCCATGGCCCGGACGAGCTGGACCTACAGAAGGGAGAAGGCATCAGGGTCCTGGGCAAGTACCCGGATGGCTGGCTCAGGGGCGTCTCCTTGGTCACTGGCAGGGTCGGCATCTTCCCCAACAACTATGTCATCCCCATTTTCAGGTGCGTCCCCTCTGTTCTCTGGCAAAAGAGGTCGGGTCACCAAGGCCAGGGGCCATCTGTGGGCTGCATCGCTGAAGGAATCAGTGCTCCTTCAGAGTGTGGGCCAAGAAGTAGCCCTAGTAACCCCCTAACACTTTATTTTCTTTAATAGTAACAAGTTATCTTCACATTTTACAGGCACTTTCTCAATGTTTACCACATTGCCTGTGCCCAAGAGTCCTTTTCATAAAGTAGATAGTATTTTCCAGATGAGGAAAGCAATATACATAGTTAAACTCCAGAACGGGATTTCAGGTTTTCTACTGTACAAACCCCCCAAATCCCATTCACATCCCACCCCCTGATACTCACATCTAATCGAATAATGGGAACCTGCAACCATCAGAAGACCCTCAGAGCATCTTGGGAAACTTCCTAGGACACTAGGCCAGTAGGCAAGTTTCTGTGACTCAGTCCACCACCTGTCCATCCACACCCCAGGCCACAGGCGGGTTACCCTAGAAGTCTGAGTCCCTCACAGTCTTCCCAACCTTTTCCATTCTCCGGCACACCTGACACTTCTGCTTTGGCTGCTTGGACCGTGACTACAGATGCACTCGGTCCCAGTACCACCCATGGCTCGTCCTCCCTTCCACCCCACGCCAGGCCAGGCACAGCATGTCACAAGGCAGTGAGGCCATCACCACACACGAAATGCTGGCTTTATGACATACCTCTGAGCAAAGTGATAACCCGTTGTACTCTCTGGGAGTCAGACCTGGAGTCATATGTCCAGTTTGGGGGACCTTCGTGTAGGTGGGGCCCGGTGTCCGGAGGAGGGCAACAAGGATGGTGAGGAGATAGAAAAGTATACCACAGGAGAAACTGATAGAGAAACTAGGGTTAAGCTGTAGAAGACAAGGGTCAGAGGGACCATAACAGGCTGTGTAGATAGGAAATCTGTTTCCTGAGGGGGCAGTGAATGCAGTGGATGCAACTTAGTTGCAGTGGATGCAACTTAAAGGCTACACTTTCTAAGGCGTAAAAATAAGGTCGGCTGGTGAGGTGGGAGACCCTTTCTAGGAAGAGTATGGGGAAACTCTGGGTTTCCTTAAATCTAGTTTATATAAAATGATTTCTTCACGTAGCAGAAGGTTGGAGGAGAAGTCATTTCCTTCAATGGAAAGTTCTTGGAATTTGTTAGAAAGTTACAAAATCTCCATTGGCAAACTAAGTGTGTCTTTAACTGATGCTTTAGTTCATTCATTCAACAAATATTTAATGAGCACAAACTATGTGTCAGGCACCTTTCGAGGCACTGGAGAAACACCAGTGAACAAAATACACAAAATCTCTGCCCACTGGAGCTTACATTCTAGTGGGACAGACAGACAGTAAACAAGATATATAAGTAACATATACGGTGTGTTAACGGTAAGGGCTAAGAAGAAAAATCAGAAAAGCAGGATAGAATTTGTGGTGGGGATAGCGGTGGTGATTAAAATTTTAATATGTTGGTCAGGAATGGCCTTACTGAGAAGGCAGAAGGAAGAAAATGAGGCAGGTATATTCCACACCACGGAAATAGCAAGGACAATTGCCCCGAAGTAGGAGTATGCCTGATCTGAAGGCCAGTAGGACTAGATCAGAACAAGTGAGGGGGACGTTAGCAGTAGATGAGGTCAACAGGTGGGCCAGATCATCTAGAATTTCCAAAGTCATAATGAGGAATTCGGCTTTCATGCTGTCACAGGGTTTTGAGCATAAAAGTGACATGATCTAACTTATATTTTAACCAGAATCCCTCTAGTTGCTGGCTTGAGAGTAAACTGTAGAAAGGAAACATGGAAGCACAGAGACTAATTAAAAGGATATTATAATAATGTGGGGGAAAGGTGAGGGTGAGTTGAACCAAGGTGTCAGCCATGGAGGTAGGGAGAAGTGGTTAAATTCTGGGTATACTTTGAAGGTAGTCATAACAGGATTTTCTGACAAATGAAATATTGGGTGTGAAAGAATAGAGGAGTCAAGGTGAGTCCTCATTTTTTTGCCCTGAGTAACTGGAAAATGGAATTGCCTTTTATTGAGATATTCCGGAAAACTGAGAGGAACTGGTTCTGAGAGGTTGGGGGTGGTGGTGAGCAGAAGCTCAGCAGGCAGCAGATTAAGTCTTAGATTCCTGTTAGTAATCCCAGTAGAGGTGTTGGCAAATGGTTGAGTACATAAGCCCAGCACTTTAAGGAAGAAGGTCTGGGCCTGAGATGGTATTTAAAGCCCTGGGACTAGATGAAATCATCACGGTAGGATCAGTTGCATTGGAGAGAATGATGGTGAGCCAGAAACTAAAGTCTTCATGAAATGAGGGGAGAGGTTGAGAGAGGAAAGGGTGACAAGGTAGAGTGGCAGGTGATAGAGTCTGGTACTACCAAGCAAAGCTGGCAGGGTGGAGGGGGGGGATGGCCTAGAGGAGCCAATGAAGAGCAAGGAAGATACCCACCCTAACTTATGACTGTTTCCTCCATGACATGAATTCTCCAAGGACCATGTCTACTACTAGGGGGTTTGCTTATGCGTCAGGCCTTAGCCCAAAGTCCTGGTAATTCTACTGGAAAAAAAAATCCTTTAGAATCACAGTGACCATATAATTTGTCACCCAAACTAGGACACATTTAAGAAAAAAAAGAGAGACACACACAATTTTAATACACCAGGAGAGCAGGTGTAAACTGAGACTATCCTAGGAGAAGCTGAACAAATAGTTACCGTAACTAGAATGCATGTAGGATTCCATTCCAGTGGATTCCAAGACTCCAGCTTCCCTTTCCCCCCTTCTTGGCTTTTCTCCTAGGTACATATATTGTGTCCTTAGGCAAGTCCTAAACATCTAGACTTGCCTGCTCCAAGATGGCGGCAGCATGTCAGACAGTGGATGAAATGTCAGCCATAGGTTGCCATTGAGTCTGTCTCCCATCTCGAGTTCATAGAATCCTGAACATGTGTGTACAGAGGTGCTACTTACTTGGAAGGGTGTGTTTGCTTCTAGGGAACCAGCATTTCTAAGACGAGAAGTCCCAGCCAGAGTATATTCTCTGGAGGGCTCTTAGGTGACAGAGGATCAGTGCTTTCTAGAATGAAGTTCTCCTTGACGGCCCCCTGAAAGGTCCCGTCATCACTGATCTTAGACATGGGTGACATACGCCCAATTTGTCTACCTAGAAGCAGCTCACCCTTGTCTGTGACCACCCTTTCCATTGTGGGAGGTTTAGCTCCTTCTGCCTCTCAGGGCTGAATGATGTCCTTTGTCAACTTAGTCTCCACTACTTTTAGCAGGTTGTGTTAGGACTAAGGGATTGAACTGCATGGATAAGGCCCCTTTCTGCTCCTTGGCTCTGTGTACGTGTAAGGCTTCCCCCCCATCTTTGTTTCTCTGTTTGCGGTGATGCTTCTCACTGCCACCAGCCCCCTTGGTTAAGGTTAGGGTTAACCCTAAAAGAGCCAGGGTGCTAAAGTATGAGGTACCCCCTTATTTGCTCTTATTAGCCTTATTCCTTATATTCATTAAAGAATATAGTTTTGGGACTAATTATAGAAAGACTAGAGCTGACCAAAATGGCAGGATTTTCACTTCAAATTCAGCAAGTGAGCCTTTTAATTACTGAGAGGGGAAGAGACTGCTGTGCTATCCAGAGCTCTGGCCCTCTCTCCACCCACCTGTCTAGCCAGGTTGATCACAACTAAGTGTCTGCCACCATGACATACTTCCCGAGATTCTGCAAGCAGCATTGGCTCAGGCTGTACAGAATGTCAGTCAAGTTTCCTCCCAAACCCCTTCCTAATAGCACCGACATCTTTGGGGTTTCCTCCTCCATGCATAGTCTTGGTGGGAGGCAGAAGTTTCCTCCCTTTTCAGAGGCTCAGGAAACCCAACTCCTCCTCCTCCTCCTCCTCTTACTGCTCCTCTTCCTCCTTCTCCCCCCCAGCCCCTTCCCTCTATCACCCCAGCTGAGGAACAGGCTCATCCAATCTGATGCTCCCTCTTGGGGCTTAGAACCTTGAACCAGAGAGGAAAGAACAGGGGTGCGGGTGAAGACCATCCATGACAAGACCCCGAGCAGCACCATCTGATCAGAACCCCTGCCTCAGATGCCTGCTGTCACGCTCTCGGTAGCCTCTCTCGGAACTGGTTTCAGTGGACTCTCTGCCCCTCCTGTCCTCCCAACACATTCCCTTCTGCCCAGTAGCCAGGATGTTTCTTTCTTGCAGCTTTCACCAGACACATGTGCCCTCCTGGTGCCTTATGGATGGAGAAAAGCAACACAGGGGCCGACCCTCATTTCTCTTACCAGTCCACACAGAACTCTACAACGATGGCCAAGGTGCAAGCTTCCGCCTTATCAGGAGGCTGCTGCTAGTGGTTAGCACAGCAGAGCTGCTATTTGGAATTCTTCTCTGAATATGGGCTGAGCTCTTACAGCCTCCTATCACAGAGACGAGAGGGGCACAGACCCGCACACTCAAAGCAGCACAGTGGAGCAAGTCAGAGGCAACATACACTCCTCCCTGCTAAACCCAGAGTGTCTTTCTGGGAAACAAGGATCAGAATGTTTGCAGGTCTGAGGTATCATGGGGGCCATTACTATATGTTAGCAAAGTACTTTGATATTAGAAGAAAGAGCTGGCCAAGTGCTGAGCTTTTTGCCAAAAGACAGAGGGATTCAGTGTGGGATGGGGAACTCGGGATGTAGGAGTTTCTGGACTCTGGCCTAGTGCTGGGCTCAGAAAAATGAGGTCGTAACTTGGTCTGTAAACAGTCGTTCAAAGGAGGGACTTGTGGGCTAAGGCTGGCTTGGGCCTAATTAACCGTGTTCTGTCCTTTTTGCTATACCTGCTGCTGCTGCTGCTGCTGCTGCTGCTGCTGCTGCTGCTGCTGGGAACAGTTCTGGAAACTGTCTTTCCTGTTGCCAGCCCATTTTACAAGATCCAGCATCTTGAGGCCTCCATTCAAAAGACAGGCAGATACAGCCCTTTGCCATGGAGGCCAGTGCTGGGGATTTTTCTCCACTGCTCAGCCCTTGGCTCCAGAATATAGTCTGAACTCTAACTGGCGGGCAGCCCATTCCCTTCACTGACCATGTCCCCAGGGAACTGAGGCAGGGTTTCGGCCGTGGGTAGGAGGCCCCTCACTGCAAGCACCATTCCCGGGCATCTGGCTGCATCTGTTTCATGGGCAGAGTGGCCTGCTGAAGGACTCCTCACCTATCTTCGTACAACTGGCCGGCTCCTTGTTAGACTCTGTATTGCTTTTTTAGGCAAAAGGAAGAGAGAAAAGGAGGAGGAGAAATAAGGGGAAATTCCCCAAAGAGAAAGCTTCGGACAGGCACCTTTGAGCCAGGACTGTGGACGAGTCAGTCATTGCCAGGGAATTCACAGGTTATTTCATCCACTGAGTGACAAGCTGATCCATGGGCTACTCAGTAGGGGCTGTGGTCTTGGAGTAGGATTCGTAAAAGGGCAGGAAGGGCGTGTAGAATGAGAGCCATTCCCCGTGGGATTCAGGGAGTAACAAGTGGAAAACAGTTGACAAAGATTGCTGTTCTATAACATTTTAATACTACTCTTCAAACTCAGAGCCCAAGGCTGAGAAGTTAGGCTCTTCGGAAGGCCAGTATAGGGCCTATCCCCAGCTTTAGATTGTTGCTTTCAAGCAAGATGCAGGGTTTTCCTTGCTACCTAAACAATGAAGGCTCCAACCAGCCAGGACAGGGCGTGCTCAGTGGTAGACAGTGGTACCGTTCAGTGGTAGAGCAGAGGGCCAGTGGGTTCGGATCTCAGGTCTAGTCACTGCTTGGCCAAGTAACTAGAAGTCTCCATTTTCTCACCTAGAAAATAAGGGCACTAATAGTACCTACCTCAGATGGCTGTTATGAAGAACCAAGGGCTAATGTGGGCAAAGCACTGCCCAATGCCCAGCGTACAGTAAATGCTCAACATGTGTCAGCCCAAATGACTGGCATCAGTGCTGAAAGCATCGTGGAAGCCATTCAACAAACATTTGTTAATAAGCAATGTATGCAGAACACAGAGGATATAAAATGAGTCCTATAAAATCTCTGTCTTCAAGGAGTTTAGCACCCAGTGGGAAATTCACTGAACGAATAAGAAATCAGAACTGTGGGGCACCTGGGTGGCTCAGTTGTTTAAGCATCCGACTCTTGGTTTCTGCTCGGGTCATGATCTCAGGATCATGGGCTCGAACCCCATGTTGGGTTCTTCACTCAGTGCAGAGTCTGCTTATCCCTCTCCCTCTGCTCTCCAGCCACACCCCCAAACTGTCAAATAAATAAATCAGAAATCAGAACTACAAAGTTGAACACATACTAGATCTTGTGCTCTGAACTCATGGGGTCAGGAGTGATCAGAGCTGGAGTGAAGAAGGACAAAATTCAAGTCTTCCTGTTCCATCAGGGCCTCAATGTGAGACCCTGTCCCTGGCCTCAGCACTCCCACATGGGGACCCCAGCTGTAGGAGGTGAGGCCTAACATAGTTAAGCCTGTGTGGTTGATAAAGGGAGTATTTATGGGTGGGAAGAGGGTGGAGAGAAGCCACATTCAGTATATGGTTGAGAGCTGAGAGGTTTTTGAAATAGGACTCTTGACTGAGCATTTTCTTTATTTCTTCTTTTTGAAATGCTTGCACCAACCAGAAAGACATCTAGTTTTCCAGATTCTCGGAGTCCTGGTCTCTACACCACATGGACATTGTCCAACTCCTCTGTGTCCTCCCAAGGCAGCATTTCAGAAGGTGATCCCCGGCAGAACCGGCCCTTCAAGTCCGTCTTTGTGCCCACTGCCATAGTCAGCCCTGTGAGGAGCACGGCCAGCCCGGGGACTGTCGGACGGGGCTCTCTTCGGAAATCCGGGCGGAGCAGCATGAGAAAGAGTAAGTGGTGGCAGAGAGGTACGTGTCTAGAGCTAAGTGAGGGGGGACTGGACTCTGGGGTAGGCAGAGCGCCTTTTGCAAAAACAAGATCTTGGCTAGAAAACAAGCCTCTGTAAAGGGAGTTTTTCATTCCCAAATAGTGACTGGTATCACTGGAAGAAGCCAGACCGACTTAAGGTCACTGCCCTGGGTCACTCCACACCTGTGTACTGAATGGCTGGGATGATAGTGGCCCTGAGTGCCAACATAGAACTAGGACACAGCCAAGGTGGAGGCTGGCTCTAGTTAAGACAGAACAAGCAAAGTACTTGCAGGATCGTGCTTCTCAAACCATGTTCCGGGGAACCCCTCAGGGAGCCAAAAGGGAAACATGGGAGAGACGGGGGTGGGGGTTGAGGAGGGGAGGAGGCAAAGAGGATGAAGGAGCCAATTCTCAAAGCCCCTAAATCTTGCTTTCTTATTTAACTAATATATACAGACAAGGTCTAAAAATACATATATTGTATAAAAATAAGCCTTCCTATCCTTCATCCCTGTCCCAAGTGCTCTTCCATGTACATAAATAGTAGCTTCTACTCATACCTGCTGCACTGTTCTGCACTTTTTATTTTTCCCTGTATAACATGCACATTGCTCACATGGCAATACTTTTATCTCCCAATATTTTGAACTTCTGCAGAAGACTTCATTTTCAGGGATTTTAAAAAGTGTTTGAAACCCGTTGTTCTACAAAACATGAAGGTTCTGTAATTTGCATATTTTTCTGGAAGATCATGAACCACACAAAGTAAATTTGATTTACTCTACATCCTCTGATTTAAACTGGGCTCTGCAATCTCTCTGGCTATCTTAAAAGAAAAAGATGATTAAATATGAAAGTGCAGGATGACGAGTCAGAGCAAGAAGGTAACATGTGGGACAGTACGCCACCCAGGAGAATGTGCCAGGAAAATTAAAACAAATGCCTCAGCCCCACCCTCTCCCAGTGCTTTCACCTGACCACCTGCTTGACCACCGTTCCCACTCTGCCCCCTCTACCATGTCCCTCCTTCCTCCCCCACTCCTGTCCTTCCTCCAGCATCTCCCCTTCCCGACACAAACCCATACTCAATAAACCCACCACAGAAGCCTTGGGCAAGTGACTGGACCTCTTCAGTCTTCAGTTTTCCCATTTGTAAAATGGAAATAAAAATAGTACCTACCTCATCAGGGTTATCGTGCGGATTTAATAAAATAATTCATGTAAGACTGATGGCACGGTCCCTGTCACACAGTGAGCCTCAGGAAATCCTGTTCGTATAAGGTGATCATCTTCTCAGTACCATTATTGCTATGACGACGACACAGGTCAACTTTGGCCCATCCAGTGTGTGAACTGACACAGTGTTGACGTGTTCACACTCGGTCTAGACCACTTAGGAGGTGGACACAGGAATTGTGTCCTGCTGGCAGTTGCTCACATTTCCCTTCAGACACTCCTCCCCTGCCTTGGCAGAGATCTTGACTGGCTTGGAGTTTTGACCGCTTGCCTTGTATGCACATGTGATAAGAAAGCACTGAATCTCTTGGAAACCAGGAGCCAACAAGATAAATAGATGAGGCATAAACCCCATTTTTCACACATTTCCAGGAGCCTGAGGATATGTGTGCCCGGGGCTGCTTTGACTTTCTCAGGTCCAGGCGGCTTTCTGTGTCCCCTTTCCCAAGGTGAGGCTGGTCAAGCTCTCAGTCTCCCCACAGCAAAGAGAAATGACAGGAGAATTGACTGTGCGCCTCATAGGGCTGTCAGTGGAAAAATAAATGTCTACATTGAAAGGGCAGACTTGTGTAAATGGCGCCCGGCTTGCTCACCGCAGCTGAGAGCACTGGCTGCGTTGAGTGAGCGTTCTGCTTTTCATGTTCACATCCTGCCTGACAGAGTCGCAATGCAGAACATGGCCTTGGCTCAGGCCCTCTGTGCTGGACACAGATGACTAATTCATACACGTGTCCACAGGCTATCACAAAGGACTCACATCTCTGACCGGATGTCCCCTATGGGCCCTAAATGCTGGAGACCCTTATGGAGAAGCGGACAGCAGTGCTACTCAGGGATGTGCCTCCTGTCCCCCCACCCCCAGAGTGCACTGAAGTCCTGATTGTTCCCTGGTCACATGCAGGACATATGCCCAAGGGATGGAGGTCTCTGGTCTTCCAGAGAATATGAGGGAAAGGAATGACTTCCTGTTACTGAGGGAGGAGCATCTCAGTTCACGAAACAAAACAAAATAAAACTCAAGGAAGGGATAAAATCACACTCCTGGACTTTGCATTTTTAGGGTTTGCTATCGTTTACCCAAAAATAACAAGAGCTAACAAACATGAGGCATTAATTATGTTCCAGGCACTGTGGTAACACTCTGCACACATCATATGATGTAAGCCTCCCAGCAGCCTCATGAGACCCTGCTGTCACCTCCGGTTTACACCTGAGGGGCTGAAACGCCAGAAGGGGATGGGGCTGACTTGTCCCAGGCTTCCTGGGAGTAAGTCTGATTCCAGAGCATCTTGTCGTGGGACTTTGTAAAGCTCATCCACACACAGCCCAAACCTTTCCGAATTTGCTTCTGTGTGGTGTCAACATTTGCCTGCACACACCCTCCCTGAATTCTACTTACCCTTCCTCCCTGCACCCTCCCACCCCAACAGAAGCCATCCCACTACCACATGCCTACAGCTTCTTCAAGTAGCTGGTCAGAGACCCCTCCCATCCTCTCTGCTTCCCTGTCTCCCTCCCTCACATCCCTTCCAATTGAATGACTCTTTCTGTCCCTTTTTTGCTGTCTCTGGCTTCCATTTCCTCTTTGGTTTGCATGCGTCTGTTGCTTCTCACTGTGAAGCTGTCTCTTTAGGTTTGTCTTCTTCACTTTCCAACCGCTAGGCCTGAAGTGAGAGAGTGGGAGTGCATGTGTGCGCGTGTGTGTGAGGGAGAGAGGAGGCAAATGGAAGTAATGTACCTTCTGACGGTGCCCCCCTCCCCCACCACCGCCCAACATTGGGCTAGTCAGTTACTTCCTGCCAGCATCAGCCAACAGCACTAAAAAAAGAATAAGGTCACCTTTGAAAGACCCTGAGAGAATGTGAGCACACTCAAATGGGGAAAGCACTTAACTATTCTGGGATATCAGGACACATGGCTTACACAGCCCCAACCCAACCTGCTGTCAGCGGCCCCTGATGCTGATATCTGTGTCATATCATTCCTCAGATGGATCCCTGCAGAGACCCGTCCAGTCAGGGATCCCCGCCCTTGTGGTGGGCTCCCTCAGACGCAATCCCACCATGGTCGTACGGCCTCAGCAGTTCCAGTTCTACCAGCCGCAGGGGGTCCCCTCCTCCCCCTCAACAGTGGTGGCAGAAGTGGGACCTAAGCCCACTCCCACTGGGGAGCCTGCCCTCACATGCGTCAGCAGGGGCAGTGACACCAGGATCCGCTCCGCAGCCAGTTCCCTCATCATGGAAGGCAAGGAAATCCCCATCAAGAGTGAGCCTCTACCTAAACCACCTGCGTCTGCCCCACCATCGATCCTGGTGAAACCAGAAAACCCAAGAAATGGCACCGAAAAGGTAGGAGTGAAGTGACATAAGGGGATGGGGGGCGTATATAACCTATATATAGGGATATATAGATTATAACCCTAACTTTTCACAGCGTCCCAACTCCTGAATTTTATTTTAGTGGACAAGGAATCAAAATCGCAGCCTCAAAACAATCCTCACACAGTAACACCCCCCCACACACACACAGGCACCCCCCCTCAGCCCCCTTGCACCCTCTGCAGATGTCCTACAGGATCTCCTTTATGTTTCCCAAATATTTCTTCCATAGTCCTTTCGAGGCCCACAGATGAGTTGGAAAAAACACGGCTTTGGCATCAGACACACCTTGATTTGAATTCCAGGTCAGCTGCTTGCTATCTGGTGACTTAGCCAAAACAGGGCACCTTTCCGAGACTCTTTTTGCCTAATCTGTGAAATAGCAGTTGAGAATAGGAACAACCTTACAGGCTTGGTGTGGAGATGAAACGAGAGGAGATGTGTTAAGTGCTTATACAGGCATTCGTGGTATGGAAGAGGCACCGGAGACACCAGAGAATTCAAGTGATTCATCAAGGTCACAGCAAATTATCATGACTCCCAACAACTAACTTTGACTGTGACCTCTATGACAGAGGGTCAGATCTTTTAACTTCTAGTCGAGGGCTTTTCCCACTAGAGACAGGAGTTTTTGTATTCTGTTCTCAATAGAATATCCTTGAGTTGGGAGGAACAGTGAGATACAGGAGGTGACAGTGAGAAAATTAGGTGATTGTTACCTTTTAGTTTATTGGCCATCACCACTATCATCACCATCACCATCAACACCAGCACCATTCCCCATTCCCCTCCAAAAGGAAAAAGGATTTGGTCTCCTTCTCTTTGTTAAGCATTTACTGAATGCTAACAACCTACTAGGCCCTGTGCTGAGGACTTGACGTGTCTCATCTCCTTTAATCCCGACAGTAACCCTCTGTAGTAGATATTATTCTCAACAACCCTCTATAGTAGGTATTATTATCGTCATCCTCATTTTATTTTTTATTTTTTTAAAGATTTTTATTTATTTACTTGACAGACAGAGATCACAAGTAGGCAGAGAAGCAGGCAGAGAGAGGAGGCAGGCTCCCTGCTGAGCAGAGAGCCCGATGCGGGGCTCGATCCCAGGACCCCAGGATCATGACCTGAGCCGAAGGCAGAGGCTTTAACCCACTGAGCCACCCAGGCGCCCCCGTCATCCTCATTTTAAAATGAAGACAGGGAGGGTTAAAGAGTTAGAGGACGTTACCCAAAGGCACACAGATGACACATGGGGGTGTCTGAGGTAGATTTCAGATCTCATAGAAAAACTCATGCTCTTCATGCTAAGCTATGAGCTTGTAAGGAAAGGCATTTGGAAAAAGTTAGTGTTGACTGATGTGAACGTTGAGAGCTTCTTTTCAGAATTTTAGTATCTGAATAATGCCATTTTCTCGGCCCCAGTTGCCCTTTACACCAGGCTGTTTGATACAGCCCTCAAACTATCAGCATTTAAGAAGTGCTCAGACCTCTGCAAGATATGGAGAAGGTCAAGAGTATGAAGAAACTTGCATTCTCAGTGGGGGACACTAGGCCCAATTTCATGGAAAACAAAGTATTCCTAAGCAGTAGCAGAGAACACTGAGAAGCCTTAGATCAGGGACATGCTAGAGCAAATACCTATGGGTACAAGGTAGAGACAGAACAGGCATGAAGAGGTGAAACAGGGAGGGAGAGAAGGGGCTTGGGCCACAGGAGACAGGGGATCCCATGGATATGGGGCCTGCTAATCAGCTCCAGACAGATGCTGTCAGAATAGGAGACAGGCCTCAGTGCACCAGATCTTTGATTTTTTAAGAGACATATGGAATTCGAATTTTTAAATACCATCACCCCATTTTTATGTGTTCGCCCCTAAATCAAACTCTCAAACATTCTGCAGACAAAAGTCAGCCAGCAGGTGTCCAGGTTGCAAACTCTGCTCCATGGATATAAGGCCGTTATGAAACTTAGGAGTTGGAGTCAGCAGGGGGAGTGGGGGGTGCCCCAAAGAAGGGGTGGGCCCTGAGAAAGGCCTTACTGGCAGCTGGAGAGGACAGAGGAAAGGCAAACCTCTGGAAGGAAAGGCTTTCTGGAAGGGACCACAGTCCTTTGCTCAAGGGGTTGCCTCTCCTGTTTCTCTTAGGTAATTTCTCATCATTCTTCAGCTCTCAGTTTAAACAGCTCTGCCTCCAGGAAGCCTTCCGTGGCCACCCCATCCCAGCTGCGGTGCGAGAGCGCTCCATACCTCCCCTAACATCTGTCACCTCTACCACCACAGCACGATGCAGAGTAGACCCTCAGAGTGGACACAAGTATTTACTGGATGAGCACAGAAATGAGGCATTTTAAGGAGGGACAAGTGTTGAGAAACAGCAGGAGTTGAGTCCCAGGGAAACCAGCACAGCTCCCACCTCACCTGGGTCCCTTCGCTCTGCTTTCTCTTGCAGCAAGTCAAAACCGTGAGATTTCAGAACTACAGCCCTCCTCCCGCCAAACAGTACACCTCCCATCCCACCACAGGAAAGCTTGAACAGCCCACCACCCCGAAGGGTTCCCAGCCGGAAGCAGCCCCCTCGGGCCTAGAGATGAACATCCTATTCGCCCACCGAAGCGGCTGCCATTCCGGACAGCAGACAGACCTCCGAAGGAAGTCAAGTTTGGGCAAGACCGTGACCCCGGTGTCCGCCACTTCGGCCACACAGACCGTGTTTCCCAGCAAATGAATCTACGGGTGGCTTTTCCCAGACCCCAAAGAGGTGAATTGCATTTAAATACAGTCTGCCTCCACTGATCGCGCCCTGCCATTCTTTGGCTACTCAAGCCTGGGTCCTTGTTCTGCCCATGTTACCTCTGGGAAAGGAAAGGTGGGCGCAGGGAGTCCTGCCCTGGGTGGGAAGATGAAGCATGTGGCCTTGCAAACATAACAATTTGAGGCAGCAAGGCCACTATTCAGACCAAGGAGTGGGAGATGGACCTGCCCACCCTCTTCCCTGAATGGAGTGGGCAGCCTTATCCCCTGTGTTCTGTGTAGAATTTCTACGGTGCCCTAAAAGGGACTTCAGCCAGGGGTGTCACAATGGTGGGAATGTTGGCATTGTTTCTTTGACCTCATCACCGTGTTCTCAACAAGCATCGGAACAGCTTCTGGGGCCTGTACACTGGCCGCTAGTGGCTGCCATGTTGTTCCCTCCACTGAGTCGTAATCCTGGCTGTGAAGGGGGAATTTGGGGAAGGGTGTGAGATGGATACTCTGATCATGCTGAGAATCCTCGAAAACCAAAGGGAGCCAGCTTACTGGATTTGGTCCAAACGAGAAGGTCAGAGAGAAAGCTATGATCATACTTTAAACTTCTGAATCTGTTTTCCCACATACAATCCTACACGATAGCTGAGCAGGAAGCACAAGGCTGTGGATAGGGTCCTGCATGGAATTCTGGCTATTTCATTCATCCTGGCTCCAGTCTGACATCCCCGGGAAACACAGCATGCTTCAAGACAGCTGTGTAAGGGGGTTGAGGTTAGACATATATTGCATTTGCATTACAACCTTCTTTACTTCCTCTGATTTCTCTTCGTTTGGGGCACTCTAGCTGTTTCACTGGGTCATCGTATAAGGCAGCAAGGTCAGGAAGAAGATGCTAGTGCAAGGCTGGAGCGGGGACACTTCATGGAGGACAGCTGCCAGGACAGAGATGGGGCAGAGGAGGATGGAGAGGGAAGGGAGGAGGAGGAGAAGAGGGAGGTAGAGAGAATGTGGGGAGTGGGTGTGAGAGAGAAAGACAAAGATGGGGGAGACATAGGAGAATGTCAGGGAAGAAGAAGAAAGGGAGAGTGGCTTTGACACTCCTGACAAGTGGGGCCTGAAGGATGGAGCCTGCAAAACCAGGTGACCCCACCAAGGGGGTGCCAGAGGGAGGCATCCTCGATTTGTCAGAAGAACACCCTCGGTGAGTTTAGCCATGAGTTTAGTCATTCTGCTCTGCCCCCCAGGGTGCAGGTACAGGATTCCACCAGCCACGCAAACATTTAGACTCTGCCTCAGTAGCAGCAGGTCCGGTTAGTGTTAAGTATTGCGGCTGACAAGCAGGTTGTAAGGGGAGTAATGGAGACACAGTCCTTGCCTTCCACGTGGAACAGAATAGTCTTCCAGTTGTCCACCGTCTTTATAGGGTAACCTTTCTGAGAAGTGTCAACAATCCGAAAGCTTGCCACCCCTATTCCAGACTCTTCACTAATGCCCAGCATCACACATACTCGCTCCCAAACCAAAGCCCATCTCTGCGGAGCCATATGAGCCTTGGAAAGGAGAAGAGAGTGTTATTTCTGAACTCACTGGCCCTTCCAATCATTGCTTCCACCACCATGTTTTGGACAGTCCCGTGTGCTGGGCACCACGATGAGGACAGCAGATGCGTCCTCTCCTATAATGTCTGCTATTACGTCCTAAGGCAACTGTAATTGTCCCCAGGACAAAGCCAGGGAAACTGAGGTACAAAGGATAGCCGCAGATGGTAGCAGAGTGGGTTTGACAGCTCCCCACGCCCCAAGCTCAAACTCTCTGACTTCAAAGCCCAACAGGGGACCATGCTTTATGAATGAAGAGAGCAACCTTGACCTAGGCCACTGATTCCCAACCGCAGGGAATAGTGTGATGGTTGCCGACGCAGCCTCGGCCACACGCAGACTGAGTTCAGATCCCCATTTACTGCGTGCTGGCCATGTGATGTTGGGCAAGTTACTTAACCTCTCTGAGCCAGTCTCACTGATAACAGCGGAATGATACTAGTGTCAGGATTAACTGTCATAGTATTATCAAGTGACATAGTACACACCTCACACATATCAGACTTGAATGTTTTTAAGGGAGCGGGTCACTGAAATTCCAGGTGAGGAAGTCCAAAGCAAGGCCATGTCTGGGGCGGTGGTGCTAAAATGAAATGAGTATGGCCCTGTCATAGAGGTCAGAGCACAGGGTAGGCTGAGTCCTGAAGGATGAATAGGAGTCAGAGAGAAAAAGGTGTGGAAGGAGGCATTCCAAGCAAAGAAAGCAGCACTTAGCACTTGCAGTAATCAAGCCAAGTTCTCCTATATGTAGAGGAATCCACTCCTTTGTGGAGCATTCGAGGGATCCCAGGTAGACTGAGTACCTCATGTTTGAAGACAAGTCAAGCTGCGAGACTCCATCCCTCAGCCAAGACTCAGAGTCACTAGGAAGGTGCCCCCTTCACCTCGTGATCAGACCCTGGCATCTGAGCACTACAAAAGGTGCTGAGGGCAGGCTCTGATTGGGGCTGGGGTCAGGAGGACATCTGAGAGGTGATGGAGGGGCACAGCATAGGGCCATACATTTTTGTTGTTTAAAGATTTGATTTATTTGAGAGTGAGAGAGAACATAAGCAGCAGGGGGGCAGAGGGAGAGGTTGAAGCAGACTCCCGGCCGAGCAGGGAGTCCGTTGTGGGGCTCAGTCCCAGGACCCTGGGATCATGACCTGAGCCGAAAGCAGATGCTTAGCCGACCGAGCCACCCAGGCACCCAGGCTACGGCCATACTTGAGGGAAATGGTCTCCTTAAGCAGCATCGGGACCCTCACCTAGGGCTTTCTTTCTCGCATGGGACCAGAACCACCCCCTTTGCTCTCCACCACCCACAGACAGGGCTTTTAGAGCAGCAAGAGTTTAAAGCAGTGCCCTGCCTGCGAGTTGGTGAGATGCAGGACTGACCCAGTAAATGCAGGGCTCCCGGAAGGTCCGTCCATCCCAGGCCGGCTGTTTCAGAATAGCAGCGATCCCGCAGGGCCGGGTCAGGGGCAAGCTGTAGTTAGGTGGACACGCGTTCCTCCGTTTGCCACACCATCCCCCCAAGCCTGCTTTGCTCACTCACATAACCCCCATGTGAATGAAGCATCTTCTCCCGGAGTCTGTGCACTGGACATCATTTCTGTCTCCAGGGATGCCTTGAAAGTTAGAGCTAGACCCTGAGAGATCAGCTCGTCCAGGCACTCGGGTCTCACGAGTGTAGCAAGCTTAGTCTGGGCCTAACAGGGTGTCAGTCAACAGTCTTGAGGTGGGGTCTAGGCATCTGTGTCATCAGCATACTCCCCAAGTGATTCCGACGTCTAAGAACAAATCTACCTTTCTCGCCGCGTGCAGTAGGCCAGGAACGTAGCCACACTGGCTGCCGATATACGAGCAATGCGTGTAGTGAGAGGTGAACAGTGAGTGCTTGGAGCTCCCACTCCCGCCCCTGGCCCTTTCTGCGCACTCTCCCTATCACTCTACCCTCCCGCAGCCTAAGCGCTCAGGCCCGGTGCCGCTGAGACCTTCAGCAGTAAAGCTCTTCTTCGCTCTCACTGGCTAGTGCCTGCACCATGGCAGTGGCTGAATTTCTTGACTATTACCCCGTAATAGAGAACGAGGCCCAGAGAGGTCCCTCGGAGATGAAGAGCTCTGCTATCAAGCCCAGTACTCTCCCAGCCCGTGACCCAGCCACTGTCCAGCCCTTGATAATCACTTCCATCGGGCCCTTGGCTTAGGAAAGGAGAGGACTTAGAAGATGGGCAGTTCCTTGCTCACTGCTCTCTGTGTTCTCTTAGCAAACATTTTCACAGGTCCAAGCAATGCCCTTAGCCTCCTGGCTCCTCTAGCATCAAGTAAGCAGGTATGGCAGTTGCTTGTTTCAGTAAGATGAGCAGGCAAGACCCTCACCCTCTCACCCGCCTCTGCCCACACAGACCAGCCTCCCGGCCCCTGGACATCCTTCCTGGGATGCGCACCACTGGGACCGGCCGCAGAGGGAAGTCCTTTCAAGGCTGTGTGCTGGCGTCAAGCGCTGAGCGAGCTCGGCTCAGCTGGGGCCAGCAGCTGCTCCCACGGGCGCTTCTCTTGTTTGCGTCTAAACAGTAAAGACCCCAGGTCTGCCCTGGGCCGAGCATAGGGGGTGTGAGCACTTCCAGCAACCTCTCAGGTGACCATGAGTGACAGTCACTCGGGGAGTGTGTTGGGCAGGCAAGACCAGACTAGAAGAGTTAACTCCGAAGATCCTTGCAGCAGCAGCAGCAGCAGCTCGGTGTCCCTGCGAATAAATCTTGCAAGGACATATTGCTTGAAATAGAAAAATGTTAAATGATCAAGCCATCTGTTTGCCAGGCCATAGTGTTGTGTCCTAGACCAGAGCAGAAACAAAATGTTCTCTGGAAGCCCTTCTGCCTGCTGACCGTCACTTCCACAAACAGAATGCAGCCAAGATGGGATCAAAGGTGATGGGGGCGGGGAGCATGGAGGAGCCTTCCACATCGATCCATCCATCCATCCAATACCAGTTATACCTCACCCACTCTGGATCAGGCTCCATGAGAGACTGTGGGGGCTCAGTGGTTCACAGGAGAGAGAAAACACATGTGGGCCTCTCAGAGTGGGGTTTCTTAGGAATTCTACTGGACCTGGGAGCTCCTTTCTGCCTTCCTCCCTTATTTAAATTAAATTATATCACATATATGATATATGATCAGATATATGATCATGAAACAAATAACCATATACCTACCATCTAGCTGCTTTTTTTAAAAAAGATTTTTTAAAAAACTTATTTGACAGAGATCACAAGTAGGCAGAGAGGCAGGCAGAGAGAGAAAGGAGAAAGCAGGCTCCCGCTGAGCACAGAGCCTGATTCGGGGCTCAATCCCAGGACCCTGGGATCATGACCTGAGCCGAAGGCAGAGGCTTTAACCCACTGAGCCACCCAGGCGCCCCCGCCATC